CATTTCTGAGCCTCAGTGTCTTCATCTGCTAAATAGGGAGAGTCATAGCACCCATCTCAAAAGGGTGTGGTGAGGTTGAAAAAAGATTATGCATGTAAAGTGACTGAACCAATACATTTGGTTACTGTTCTTGATATCTCCAACACTGGCAGAAAAATATAGCGGGTAAGAGGAGGGCTCTGAAATCAGACTTCCCAGGTTCAAAAACAGGCTCCTGCCAATTATAAGTCAGGCAACCTTGGGAAAGGCACTTATTCCCTTTGAGTTTCAGTTTCTGCAGGATGGAGGCAACAATAACGCCCATCCAACAATAAAAAGCATTTAGCCTTATCTTGTAAGTACTCAACATATGGCAGCTATTACTATTTTCAACCACTCGTTTGGGTGGTAGATACTTGCAAAGAGTAGACTGGGTCCTATCAATGACCTCTCTTTCTCTGGACTAAGCATCTCCAGTTCCTTACACTGACCCTCTTTCCTCATAGATGTCAGTCTCCTCTCACCCTAATCACTCTCTTCAGAAGGCATTCTGGGTTGCTACTACCCCCTTACAGTGTGATGCTACAACTGGATCTCTCACTAGAGTCCAACTAGCATGTGTGACAGAGAGAAAGAGAGAACGTGCGTGTGTGTGTGTACCATCACCTTCCTGGATTCTAAATGCTGCACTTTGATAATGCAGCCTGAAGTGGCATCAGATTTGGGGGGAGTAACAACGAAAACTATAGTTCATCAAACACCTAATATATGTGCCAGAAACTATGCCAAGCATCTTACTTACTCTAACTTATTTAATCCACACAATAACTCTAGGGGGTAGAAATCATCCTCATTTTTCAGATGAGGAAACGGATGCTTAGACATTTTATAAGTGGAAGTTCAACACAGCCAAAATATGGTGGAGCTGAGATTTGTCTCCAGTCTATCTTACTTTAGAGCCACAATCTTAACCTCTACACCATACTTCCACAAAAATATTAAGAAGTTATTCATCTCAAACCATAGGTGTTTTTTTTTTCCTCATGAGATTTTTTTTTTCTTTGTGAGGAAGATCAGCCCTGAGCTAACATCTGATGCCAATCCTCCTCTTTTTGCTGAGGAAGACTGGCCCTGGGCTAACATCCGTGCCCATCTTCCTCTACTTTATATGGGACGCCGCCACAGCGTGGCTCGACAAGCGGTGCGTCAGTGCGCGCCCGGGATCGGAACCGGCGAACCCCAGGTCCCCGCAGTGGAGCGCGCGCACTTAACCCCTTGCGCCACTGGGCCGGCCCCTCAGGAGATTTGAATAAGCTAAGTGTCCCCAGTCCTGGTCTTCTTCAGCTGAGGTTTTAAATAGGACCTTACAGCGTAGCCCCATTCACTTTGATCATTTCAAATTTAATCCAACACATTCTCTCTCCCGTTCAGCTTCAAGTCAACAAATGTAATTTGATACGTCGCTGTTAAGAAGGAGGAAGAGAACAAAGCCAGGGCCAGAGCTTTTTGGCAAGCTATTAGATGCATTTCTCTCAAGGTGTGTTCTATCAAGTAGTCATTTCCTCATGGGGGTAATGTTCAACCTGTTCCAGTCCACCAAACTGAATTAACGTCCAACCTCCATTGCTCTATCTTGTTGACAATTATTTCTTGAAATATCACACGGTCTTTACGGTCAATATCTACAGCAAAGGTCCATTCTAAGAAAGGTTGCTCCAGAAAGAGCTGTGGATGGAAGGCTGAAGGGGGTATGAGAAAGAATATACATGATGGTCTTGAGTGTTTAAAATATTTTTAAGGGAAAAACCCCACTTTTGCTTCCAGAAGACATTTAAGCTGAGGAAATATATAAAGGGCAGAAGATGAACAGGACTCCGACCAACAGCCTTCCCTGGGATCTACCTGTATCTACCTAACCCCATCTGAACTCGAATATCACACAACGACAGGGCCCAGAGGGAGCCACTGGCATTCATACTTAAATGTGTGGCTTGTTCAGCTTCCTTTATTGGATTCAAGGGCAGGGGCTTCACCCTCTCTTGCTTTTCTCTCCCTCTGCTGCAGCAAGGCATTGTTGTTCCTTATGCCTTGGTTCCTCCATTAACACCAAGGAAAGACTGACCATGGTAATTTCAGTCTTTTTTGACTAGAGAAGAATGAAGTCTGAGGCTCCATCTCACCAAGTCCTCATCCACTAGTCGCTCAGAACTGTGAGTCTACTTGCTATTAATCCATTCACCAACCTCATCGGTTAGTCCCACAGAGGGCTGACTTGTACCTGTGGAGAAAAAGACCCTTTGCCTCAAATCTAAACAGAGGAGAGCTTGACATGCCAACCACCCTGGCTGGAACTTCTCAGGCCCTACTAGGACACTGCTGTGAGGCCCCGCAGAGCCAATAGGGCATTCTGGGTAATGGAATGCAACCTGATGCAGTTCGCCCCACTGGCCTCCCCAGGGTTTCTTGATTCCTGGCTCTGCAAGAGCGGAGGCAAGCAGTTTCCGAACTAGGGGAAGAGGGTGGAGAGAAGGGGCGGAGGCTTCCTCTAGGCCAACCACAACTAAATCATTTGCTCTGTCCAGCAAAACCCAGACAGTGCAATTATCTGGTTAATTTGGCCCTCAGTTGGGAGACAGACTTCCAAAATGTGAGGCCGGCTCAGACTAAACAGTGGCTTCCATCCTAAGACTTTTCCCAAGTGCTAGAGCTTGCATGTGAGATTCCTGGGGGGTTGCTTATGTGACCCACCCATTGATCCAGATGGGAAAAGACAAACGATTCAGACTCTAAGATGTGTTTAGGAAAGCCTGTCTTCCAGGGAAACATGCACAAATGACCTGCTAATTGGTCTTCTGGCTAATCTGCCTTCCGAGTTCCAAGAAGGGGAATAACTCGAAATCAGGATGACCGTAAATTAGCCAATGTTTTCCAGTGTGATTGGAGTCCTCATAGCCCGGCTGAGTGTACTCAGAGGCCCTGGGTTATTCTTAGGGCAATTGTCTCTGATGTTCCTGCTCACAGATTTTGTACCCATAAATCGGGTCAGGGGCAGCACTGAGACAAAAGGGTAAAATTAAAACATGCTTCTGGCGTTGTCACAAACGGGATGAGACAGGATTAGCTAAGCTGGCAACTGAGCATTAACCAGATGGTTTATGAAAACGCAGATTTTTGAGGGCAGATTAAGGAGCAGTGATTTATCTCCCTTGGAAACTGACAAGCAGCCTGGAATCTGTGGAATCTATCAGTTATTCATTTTGCAAATATTTGCTTCAGTTCTAGTATGTGCCAGGCCCTGTGCTACTTAACAGAGTGAGATCCAAAGAGCCATGGCCCCTACCCTCCTACAGAGTCCTACACCTAAATATATGCATAAGGACTAGGATGGAAAAGTTGGGATACTATGGAAGGGAATAACTGGGTTAGCTTATTTAGATCAGAATGTGAAGTCTCAGAGAAGGAATCTTTGAGGAAGGAATTCAAAAGCTAACACTTTTAAGAATCTAATTTGCTTTTTTAGAAAGATCACTCCAGCTTTAGCACAAAAAATAAATTGGAAGTGGGTGAGGAGATGGAGTTAGGAGGCTGTCGGTTAGGAAGAGTGGATGAGAGTTGATGATACTTTAGCCAAGGATCTAGGAAATGGGGATGGAGAGATGTGGATGGACCAGAGAGATATAGGATATGGAGTCAACAGGATCTGGTAACTAATGGGTATAGTGGTGGAGGGAGAGGGAGGCATCCAGGAGACTGTGCAGGTTTCTGGCTAAAGTGGAAGGTAGATGGTGGCACTCTTCATTGAGACAGGAAACTTGAGAGGACAAGTACGTTACGGACCAGGGGAAGATTATGAGTCCTCTCTGGGAGTCAACCATCATGGACTCCACACCATTCCACACCCTGTACTTCTGGTCTCCTTACCTTTGCTCATGCTGCTTCATGTCACATACTCTTCATGTTGCCATCTGCAACTGCTGAAACCCTATTCATTCTCCAAGATCCACTTCAAATACCACCTCCTCCTGGGAGCCACTTCTGACTTCCTCAATTAGTTGTGGCCTCTGCTGCCCATAGCACTAAGTCTGGACCACTCTTTCCTGGACTCCACCTGTGTTGAGGTTCTGTGAAGACTTACCTTACCTCCCTTCCTAGACCACAAGCTTTTTGCGACAGAGCCTCTGCTTCTATATCCTCATTCTCCACATGTTAGCTAGCTAGCATAGTAGACTTTTGACAAATATTTGTGAAGTGAGTAAAAATAACCTGCTGTTTGCCATGGAAGGAAAACCAGTAGACATTGGACTAACTTGAAAGCCACAAGATCAAATTGAAATTCAAGCTGTAGGTGTTTTAATACTAAGCCAACTCAACTTTGATGCTCAGAAAGGCTTTCTTTTCCTCCAACACACCAAACTCAAAGAGTGCTGGAAAAGTCACATCCCTCTATTCTTTTATTACGCTTTCGTGAGTTCATCTTATAGCAGGGACCTTTTCTATCTTATTAACTGTTTGCCTTGGATGATGATGATGATAAATGGGTAACATTTACTAAGGGTTGGTATGTGTTGGGCACTGTTCTAACTACGTTTCATGGACTAAAAGGTGATGCTATTGTAACCCCAATTGTACAGATGAAGAAACTGAGCTGCAGAGAGCTGAAGTATTGCTCAACCAAAGTCACACGGTCAGCTGAGATTTGGGTATGGCTCCAGCACCCACGCTCTGATGTGCTCTCCTAAGCACAGTGTTCAGCATTGAGTAGGTCTCCAACACGTGTTCAGTGAATGAATGGGAAGAGCCCTAGATCTGGAGACCACAAGTTCTAGTCCTAATTCTGCCAGTGATTTCCTATGTAGCCTTGAGCTACATGTGTTCCTTTCCCCATCAAGTGAGGGGTCTGGATGTTGAAATTAGTGGCAATAACAAGAGCCAGTATTTGAGATTCTAACTTCTTTTGAAGTTTTAAATAATTTAATCCCAACAACAACAATACAAGGAAAACGGGACAAAGAGAGATTAAGTCACTTGCCCAATACCTAGAAAATGAGGGAGTCAGGATTCAAACCAACTGTGCTCCCCAGCCCGAGTGGTTCAAGGAGATGCCTTGGGGACCATACAGGGGATGGGCGGAGATGGAACAAGATGGAGCAGACAGATTTCTGGGCTCCGCATGCCCATTTCCATCAGAGAAGCTCTCTCTCTATTTTGTAGAATGGGATCCTACTTGAGGTTTCCTTTGAAGAAAGCTTCTACTGTTAAAACAAAAATATTGAAAACCATTGGGCCAAGTAATTCTGGAATTTAATGAGACTCCTAGGTATCAGCCAGGATTTTTCTGCTCATCTTGGCTCATTATGGCTCCAGCTACAGAAAAGGTCAGGGCGATAGTGCTGAAGACTCAGCTCCAACCTACCTGCTCCACGCGGATCTCAATCTCTCCATTCACCTTCTTCCCATGGAAATACTTGGCCCTGTAAAGGAGAGGAAGAAAAGATGATGATCCTGAGTAAGGATGCAGACTGCTTTACTCTTTTCTCCCTTCTCCCAAAGGCCTTACCCCCAGAATGCATATCCAGACACATTCTCTATCTTCCTGCTCTCTCCTCTCAGCTTACCTGCTGATTTTCGCATTATTTATATGGATTGTGTAGGAGAGAGGAAAGAGTACTGCGTGGGAGGATCGAAGACTCAGGTTCTGGTTCAAGTCACTTGACCTCCCTGTGTCTCAGTTTTATCCTCTGTAAAAGGAAGATGTTAATACCTGCATAATATATTTCTAAGGGTTATGTTAAGGATCAAATGAGGTAAAGCATCTACATAATAGTGCAGAATTATTTTATTGAGTTACACCCTATATACTCTATAAAGGACTTATTAAATTGATCTATCCATCTGTTCATTTCTCTGTTCGTCCATGTGTCCAATGAAGATCTCATCTATCCCTTTGCTCATCCATCCATCTGTCCATCTATCCATGTATCCATCCACCCATCCATCCATCCATCCATCCATCCATCCATCCATCCATCCATCCTTCCATCATCTTTCCTCTACGCCCCTGCTTCTGTCTTCCCACTATCAGTAAATGGCATCCCATCTACTCATTACTCAAAGCAGAAACATAGACATCATTCTTGTTTCCTCTTTCTCTCTCCCTATTCCCATTGATTCTACATTCTAACGTAGAATGTACAAATCCATCCACTTGCCCATTTTTGTCTATAAGCACCCTAGTCTTAGCCTCCTTCATCTCTTTTCTCATACAGATTCTCTTTTCCTACTCTATTTTTCTTTCATAGCACTTATTACAATTATAATTAGCTATAATTAGTAACTGTGTTTAATGTCTGTGTCCTACTAAACTATAACACAGTTCCTTGAGGTCAGGAACAATGTCTTATTCATCATTCTATTCCCAACACCTCCCAGAGTGCTTAACACATAGCAGGAGCTCAATTAATATTTGTTGAATGAATAAATGATTGAAGAGGTAGATGAAAAAAAAAAGCCACTTGTTGAGTACTTACTCTGGCCCAGAAACTGTGCTGTACGTTTTGACCCACAGTCTTTCTCATTTAACGCTTACAACCACCACCATGAGGTAAGTATTATTATTTCCATCCAATGGACAATGAAACTGAAACCAGAGAGATGAAATACTTTGCCTAAGCAGCTTGAATCCCGGTCTTCTAATTCCACGTCTATGATTTTGTTCAACCCTGAAAAATAGCAGCGAATGTTGGGGTGCTCCTGGGCTTAGATGTCTTCCCACAAAGCAAAAATAACGAAAGTTTACTGCCCATTTGCCCTCCTTCACTGTTGGTGTGATGAAACCAATAGTTCTTAGTCACTCGCTGTAATCTGAGCACTGTGTTAAGCATTTCCATACACCTTCTCTGGGGAAGAAGAGACAGCTCTTTGCTCCTAATACCCATTCTCCTCTTTTCCCACAGTGAGAGAGTTTATAGATCAGCACAGTAAGAGAGTTTGTAGATCGGCACCAAAAAATGTATATTCCAACTCTCCATTCAGCTAGGTGTGGTCACATGGTTGAGTTCTAATCAATAATTTGCAAGCATTACATCCAAGAATCTACTTAGTTTCTTCTATTCTTTTCCCTGGAACATCGATATTGCCATCAATTTTTTCAACCTTCCCTTTGTGAAAGAAAGAATCCTTTCTACAGATTCTCTGACCAATCTTTGTCTCTCTGCTTCCAAAGTCTCTCTGTCTACACTTAGCTGATGCCGGTGGAGTTCATCTCTTTCCACCCCTGCCTGAATCACTGACTGACAGCGCTGGTATTGACTTGAAAGAAAGATTTTGGTTTTTTCTTTCCCAGGATGGCCTTAGACAAAATGTATGTGCAGCCAGCCTCACGCAAAGGGAACCTTTTCACGTAGTTTGCAAATTTTATCACGAATCCTTAAAGGTAGTGTCGGCAAACTCCGGATACTGGGATAAGCCCTTCTCTAATATTTCTCGGGCCTGGGGCAAAAGAACAAATGGAGGCCTAGTATCATATGCCTAATTATCTGAAATTGATAAATAAAGCCAGCAAACATTTAAATAAAACAGGTCTGTCTTCCTTCCTTGACAAATACAACTTGATAATGACCTGGAAGGGTCAGAATTTAGACTTCTCAGAATTCTTGGAGTTCCATCCAGAACATGGCGGAATGGGGCTTGCCAGCTCTTGGTTCCCACTGTCCTGCCTAATTCTCCTCCCACCTCCTCTCTGTCCTGCACCACTGCGCTTCTTGTGCAGGCTCGTGGATGGCCCAGGCGATGTGGCCAAGCTTCATCTCCTCACCCACACCCCCATCAACAGCTGTCCCTTGGCCATGCCTTGGGAGAATGGCCCAGGGAATTGGCCTACACAGCCCCTGGAATTGGGTCCGGGTCCCTTTGGGCAGGGAATTCTAGGGTTCAGGGTACCCAGTGCAGGGTCTAAGGGGGAAATTTGCAGGTCCCTGGTGCAGGGCCCTCCTTTGCTGTTAGGAGGGGTATAGCAAAGGGCCAGGGCAGGGCTTAGGTTTCATAGAAGTATTGGGTGGGCCTGGGACCTCAGGATGGTAACTAATGAGTGCAATCACTGGTATTCTGGAAAGAGCATCGATTTGGAATCATACAGGGTTGGGCAAAACCTTAGCTGTACTACTCACTCACCACATGTTCTAAGACAAGGTACTTAACTCCTCTAGGTCATAGTTTCCTCATTTGTCAGGTGGTGATAACATCTACCAGCCAAGGTTGTGGCGAGAAATTCACTTGATCCTCCACAGAACAAGGCAGTAGAGTGTAGTGGACACAGGGCTGGACCACCCAGATGCAATCCCAGCTCCACCACTCACTCACTGCGCAACCTTGGGTGACTCACTCAACCTCCATGTGCCTCATTTTCCACATCTGGGAAGTGGGGATAATGACAGTAGCTATCTCACAGGGTTGTTGTGAGGATTAAATGAGATAAGACATAGAAAGCACTCAGAACAGTTCCTGGCACATAGTAAGCTCCCAAGTATACAGCCCAGGGCCTGAAACAGAATCAACAACAACAAAGAATGACAGAGTGTTTAATCTGTGCCGTTTAACCATACCGTTTAATCACAGTATGGGTACCGTGTAGTGGGGACGCCAAATAAACAAAACATAATCTTACCCTCATGGAGGTTACAAAACCGAATTACGACTCATCTCACCTTGACCTGTCCCATCGGTGCAGTAAGTGATGGATGATGATGATGATAACAATAAATAGATGACATTGGTATAGCAGGCCCACAAGCCTCTTCACATCCCTGCTCCTATTTGACCCTAATGTCAACCCTGAGAGGTGGCAGGGCAGGGAGCAGTCCCTGCATGTTCCAGATAGAGAAGTCCTGTTCAAAATCACACAAAACCTGTAAATGGCAACAGTGAGTTAGATCTGATGCTTTAAGATTTTGAGGATTCAGTCCAGACCCTCTGGGCCCTCTATGATCTAGACCCTGCTGACCTATGGTCCATTTCTCCTCTGGTTTTCTTCCCACCACACTCAACTTTCTCTGATTCCCTAAACACATCCTTCGCTGTTACACCTCTGGGCCTTCGCACATGCTCTTCTCTCTGCTTAGGATGGCTTCCTGCTCTTCTCTGCTTGGCTGCCTCTTTCTCATGTTCCGAGATACTCCCCTACTCTATCAAGCTTTCCTTGAAAGCACCCCCCACACAAAGCTGGGCTAGGTGTCCCTCCTCTGGGTTCCCATGGCAAGCACGCTGTGTACCTAACAACCGTTATAACACATCACTCCATGTTGTAATTACACATGGTTTGTCTGTCCCCTGGCCCCCATACACCTAGTTTGTGACAGCCTAGAAACCCGAAACTGGGTCTCAATGCTCACTGACTCTCCAGTATCCAACACAAAGTGCCAGGGCACAAGGCACACGGTTAACAAACGTTTGCTGACTGGGTAAATGAATAATGTCTTCCAGGGATAGGCCATGGGGTATCCGTCCTCGAGACGCTTTACTGCCATCTACTGGTATACTGTTGTAATGCACTTACCAATCTACACCGATGACCATGTGGGGTCACTGGACAGTGTCCAACCTGCACAACTGGCAGCCCTTGGACTTGATTCTACCCTGCACCCAAAGCACCTTGCACTACACCAATACCACCCAAGCAGCTCTTGCCTTCACAGGGCCTCACCTTTCCAGAAGGAACACTCGTTTTGCCCATCTCTGGAATTTTTACTGCAGGGCCTGGCAGATGGACTCAGCGGAGGGTCAGGCCGTCCATCCCCCTGCCTGGCTGGGAGTCAGAAGTCTGTCTCCTGACGGGCCACACAGACTGCTGCCTCCTTGCCGGGGGCTCATTCAGGCTTGAGCTGCCTCTGAACAGTTCTGTCTGGCAGAGGGAAGGGTAGGGATGGTCTGGAATTCTAGATGCCTTGGGGGCTGGGGTTGCTGCCTCTGTAATTGCCCGGCTGTTTGACCTCAGGCAAAACAGCAAATCCCACTGTGCCCGAGGGCTCTGTCTCCCTAACGCAGACCTCTTCCTAATGCCCTAATATGTTTATTCTCCTAACGAGCTCCCTCAACATCCTGGCCAATCAGTCAAGCCCTCAGCCTTGGGAAGAGGGTGGGGGGCAGCTCTAGATTCCACCGAGTTTCCATCTCTGTGGGTGGTCTCATTTTGTACCCTCACATCAGAGGCACCAGGAAGGAGAATATCATAAAACCGGTGCTGCTGGGGTGGGAAATCCCTAGTTTGGGGAGGCGGGATGTGGTGTGTGAGAGAGATTTACGAGGAGCGGGTACCTAGTTGTTTCGTAACTGCAGCAGGAACAGAAGGAAGAGGAGAATTAGCACAAACAGGATCCACCTGTGACCAAGCAGAGCCCTTCCAATAAATCCCTCTGGGACGTAAAGTCAATGTGGCCAGGTCTTGGCGATGCCCTTCCCAGGGAGGAGGGGTCAGGAA